GAAAAAAAGAAGAATTATGAAGACTAAAATCAAAATTTGGTAATTTTGTAAGGACTAAAGATATTTTTAATTTTTTATTTTATTTTCATCTAAAATTTAATTTATATTTTAATTTTTAAATTAAAATAACATCTTATAAATATTTAAATAATGATAAATTTAACTGTTAATTAATATTTTTATCCAAATATAACAACTTATAAAATTTTAAGTACTTATAATATGTTTTTTTATATAAAAATTTATTAAATGAGATGTATATTTTAAATCTATAATATCATTTAAATAAAATCAATGTTGCATAAAAGTAAAAGCAGTAAAGCGGCCACTTTTTAGACACTGCAACACTGTTAAAAGATCATTACGAACAATTTTTATTTTTATTTTTCTGTTGGTGTTGACTGTTGAAGCATGTTTTATTTTCGTGCAGTGATTACCCTGAACTCCTGAACTACATATATTACTCACGGAAAAACTAACAGGTAAAGAAATTGTGTAACACTTGAGACATAAACTCCTTCATGACTTGTGTAATCAATCAAAATATGCATCAGCTAGTAATGATTTCCATGGGGAACACTGCATGAAGAATTAAAAAACAGTGCACAGTATCAATTAACATATATATTAGATGAAACTAACATTGATTTTGGGATATTAAGGACGTTTGATTACACATGTTGAAATCATTTAAGAATTTATAGTGATGTCACTATCAACGAACCAAGCATCTCATAATTTGGAAATTAGTGCCACTCACGTAATTATTAGTCCACACACAATCACAGTTGTCAACATGCGATCTAGCTACATAGCACTTGATAATGGGCCACTTGAGTAATGAGAGTGGACTGAGATTTGAGTTGAGGCTGAAAGTTCAATATGGATCAAAAACTAAAAACATGTTAGGAATACTCTTTTAAACACTTTCTTATGTTATATCAGTTTTAGCTATAACTAGTAAATAAAACTTAAATAGCTAACCAGAAAAGATAGCAGTTTGTAAAGATTCTTCAAGTCAATAAATAGATAAAAAAAATCTCTTTCTAATACTGTATCATTTTTATTATTATGTATTGACTTAAAATATTTATGATTTCTTAAGAATTATATGTTTAATTAATTTTTAAATATGTACAATATCCCTGTGTTGCAAGTATTTATTTGAACATAAATTAAAAATGACAACTTAAATTAAAGTATATTACGAAAGGAAGTTTTTATTAATTTATACTAGTAGTTTTCTTATAAATAATTAATTGTGAGAAATATCTTTAAGATAACAATTGCGAATCAACTATTTTTAATGATATTAAATGATTAAAAAAATAAAATATAATAAATATATAGTATAGTTCATTGAAAGAATTTATTAAATATTTTATGAAAACTGTAAAAATTTTTTTTATAAAGATAAGAAAGATTACAAAGATGGTTGTAACGAGGATTAAATCTATGTTTTCATATTTCTAATTACCTCAATTCTTTCCTACCTAATCACTAGACTAATCCTAATGGTTTGAAAACTACAATTTTAATATAGTTTGCTTATTTTTTTCATTTTGTAACTTCTTTTGTGATGTAACTTTTGCTAATATAACATATATAATTAAAATTCCATGCGTAATGAAATATAGATTATGCAATATAATTGGTAATATACCTCTTTTCAAATTGTCTCAAACTCAAAAATATCACTTCTTAGTTTCGGACCATATAATAGGCATACTTATTAATTTGCAACTTAAGAGATTAAAATTGGACATTTCACAATGATTTGCACCTTAGAAGAGTCATCAAAGAAGCATTTCCCTTCATCTTTTCTTCAAACTTCACGATTTTATAATGATGACTAAGGCCCAATAATTAAGATCTAAATGTAACGTTAATGATTAATAGAATCCTTATATGACTAGTTACAGTGTAATAATATTAACGATTGACAACGAGTCAATAATATCACAATATAACATTAATATTTAATTAAATACATGTTTAACATTAATGATTGATCAAGGTTCAATAAGATCAATATGTAATGATTAACCAATGTTTGATTAGGTTTCGGTGTGAATTAACTTTCATAAAACCTTAGATAATAATATACCTTTCATTTTATTTTTTGTTGTTATGATATTTATTTATTTTTGCAAATAATATAAGAATGCAAATAACATGTCTCTTGTTTATTTATCCAAATGCCAAAAAAAAAAAATCAACAATTTGTACCAAAAAAATAATGCCACCACTTGCTAGAAAGAGATACTTCCTTACTAATTTATTATTATTTTTACATGAGAAAACAGGAAGAACTAAGGTAAAATTTATTTTTTTTATCACCACCAATCTAACTCCTTAGGTTACATGTATCAAAAATAATTTTCCAACTTCATGTTACCCACAGAATTGGCCCTAAATGCAGAAGTCACAAGATAAAATGTCCAGAATTGTTAATAATGAAAGATGTTACTGTACCCTGAAAGATGAAAGAATTTTGATACTTTCTCTTATGCATATCAATGAAATAAATACATGTTAATTAACGAAGTCACATCAATTTTTAAATAAAATTTTTTATTTAAATTTTTTATATTATTTATATTTAACTCCTTATCTAATATTTTTAAAATAAAAAATAATTATTGGATTTGTTGTTTGTTAAGGATACAATTTTTTGATTGAATTTGTTGAAAGTGCAATTTTTTGATTAGATTTGTTGAGAGTGAGATTTTTGATCAAAGGTGCACTCAATTTTCCAATAAAAGGGTGTTGGATGTTAAAATTTTACAATTCTTCACGCGGAAGAAGTTTGGAGTGCGTGAAAGGAGATTAGAGGGTGCGGTTTTAAGATCAAATGATGTTATATGTTGAAACCTTACACTTCTTTACACAGAAGGAGATCGATACACAAAAACTCTTATCAAATTCTTCTGTGAATTCCACATATACTAAGTTTAGATTTACATGATTGACTCTGTATTTATGTATTTTGGCGTTGATTTCCATCGAAATCCGTCAGCTTAAGATTAATTAAAAGAGCCTTATTTTCTTGCATTGTGTAACGCCCAATTTATATAATAATAATTATATATTTTTTATATAATATTTACGCAACTATATCATTAATAATATTTTTTTAAAGATAAAAGATAAAGATAAAGAATATTTTGTGAATTTATTACATAACATATCGTTCTAAAATATTTATAATAATGTATTATTTTACACAATATTTCTTTCTTCCACTTCTATTACAATATTTACATTGATAGTAAAAAAAAATTACAATTGAAATAATATTGTTAACAATTAAAATTATAACAAATCCATCAAATAGTCTCCATATCCCAATTTCTTTCAAGTAGAACGGCGGTAATAACAACTGCAAAATAATCTGGAATCCCAAGCAGATCCATCTATTTTATAATATATTTAATT